GACCTGAAATCAAAGATCTTGGACAAGAAAAAGTGTGAAAGATAACTTGCGTTACGTAGTTAAACCAGCAAGAAAATAATCACTATTATTTTTAGCCCCACGGTGGGCGCCAAACTGTTTACCGAGAAAATGGTAATAACAATTAATTTTTATTATGGGATTCTAAAAATACGTGATCTATTTTTATGCCGGTTGTTAAGCAGTTGATGCTATGTGAAAGACTTAGAAACAAGATTAGAGCTTGAGAGCAAGGTGATAACCGAACTGAATGGTTAATAATCGGGGCCTCGAGCTTGCTTATTCGAGGACCTCGGGGTCGAGTCTGAGGCTCGACTGAGAGCTATCGGGGATAAGCGATAGGCGACCAACAGTTAGAATAAGATCAATGACGACTCTTTTTGGCCAATAATAAGCAATAAATAATGAACAATAAATAGAACCCAGTGAATGCAAGCAATAAGTGAAGTAGTGAACTCAAGAGAATGTAATAGAAAGAGAGAGTGTTCTTGTATATTTTCGTATGGAGCAACAGATCCCTACAAAATGACAAGGATCCCCTTTATATATGAGGGGGGAATCCCAATATAGTACAAAACTATTAATTACAAAGATATGGGGCAGGTATAGCCACCTACTGCCCAGATATGGGTCAAGGCTAGACCTCTAGGCTTTGTCGGTCCTAGCAATGCGCCTAGGGAAATTCCCACTGTTCCACCGTAACTATCAATTTGTGTTGTCTCAATGCTGGACACTGACGTCCCCTCGGGGTAAGATTCGAGTGTGGCTTCGAGCCTTTGGAAACGTTGCTCCCGAGGCGTTGTAATGGCCGAAAATCGGACCCTCTGATTTTACCGTATACAGATTCTCAATTTGATGTTGTGGTGTTGTTTTAAGGCTTTTATTGATTTTATGATTATTTCCTTCTTCTATCATTGGTCATTCTAATGAGATAGTGTTTAGTTATACATACTAGTACCATTCAATGGTACTAATATGCCTTTTGCCGGGGACGTTGCGTCTTAAATGGATGCAGGTGATTCCATAGCAGGCAGTGTTGATCAGCGTTAGCGGTACATCCTCCTCCCGGCAGTCTTGGTGAGCCCCATCTCATTTCGGGGTCATACATCTTTTGTCCCTTATGTGATGTACTTGAGGTATAGCCGGGGCCTTGTTGCCGGCACTTTTGTAGTACTCTGTTATATCTATTTAGAGGCTCCGTAGACACTATGTGGGTTGTATATGGGTGTTTTTAAGGTCAGCGGTTTATGTTGTGTTTTAGTATCTTGTTTCACTCAATCATAAGGATGTGTATATTTTGGAACTTAGCAATGACGTAAATGATGAAACATTTTGGTAATGTTGACATGATCTTCCTATTGTTTAATTAATGAAAACATGCCTCCTCTTGATTATAAGTGAGTTGGGTAGGAAGTGTATAATAGGCTTGCTCGACCAGGTTCACTCGGTTGAGTGCCGGTCGCGCTCCCCGAGGTTGAGACGTGATAAACTTGGTATCAGAGCCTAAGGTTTTAAAGTATCCTAGGATGTCTCGGAGCCGTGTCTTGTAGGGTCCTTCTTATCGGTGTGTTGTCGACCACATCTATAAGTTGGAGGCTACTTGGGCATTTAGGAATCATACCCTTCTTTGATATTCTGGATCGTGCGGTAAAACTGATGGTGAGACTGTTCCTCCCCTAACTCGTGCATTACTCTAATTTTCAGTACATGGCACCTAAGAAGAGAGCAAGAACTGGCCAAGGAGCCAACGCCACCCCAGGAGTGGCTGTTGATTCTTTATATGACGATACGGGTGAGTACCCAAGAGGTGAGGATATTCCCCCGACTACCACACTGCCTGAATCACTACACCGGTTCCTTCATCTGCTGAGGGTACGACGATCCCTCCAACTGATATTCCGGTTCCACCTCCAGCCCCAGTTTCTGGTCCTAGTGTTTCTGATGGGGATCTTTGGGGAGCTATTTAGATTTTGGCTCAAATAGTGGCTTCCCAAGCCCAGAGATCTAATGTTGCCCCTACTTCTTCTAGCCATCAAGGGGATTCTACCAGTTACAGGGTAAACAGGTTCCTCCAGTTAGATCCTCTAGTGTTCACAGGTGCTAATCCTGAGGAGGATTTTATTGATGAGATGCACAAGACTCTCAGAGTTATGCATGCCACTGAGACAGAGGGAGTGGAGTTGGCCTCCTACCGCCTAAAAGTTGTGGCCTATTCGTGGTTTCAGTTGTGGGAGAATTCCCATGAGGAGGGGAGCCCTCCAACGAGGTAGAGCGAGTTTGCTGACGCCTTCATGGATCATTTCCTGCCTTCTGAGACAAAGGCAGCCCGTGCAGCTAAGTTTGAGAATCTAAAGCAAGGTAGCAAATGTGTGTGGGAGTAGTTTGCACACCTGTCCAAGTATGCTATTCACATGTTGCCCACTATGGAGGCCAGGGTGCGCCGGTTTGTTCAGGGCCTTAGTTCTTTGGTTATTAATGAGGATTCTGTAGCTGCCTTGAATTCAGATATGAACTATGGGAAGATGGCAGCATTTTCCCAAGCTACAGAGAATGGTAAGTTGAAGAACAGGATGGAGCGAGAGGGTAACAGCAAGGCCCGATCGGCGGGCAACTTCGGGGAGTCATTTGGTGGGGGAAGATCGGCTTTTAATGGAGGGTCATCAAGGACATCCTAGTCTGTTGCTTAGTCTTCAGCCAGTGCACCGCCATCAGGGCCCAGTCAGCAGCACCAGTGGAGTCGTTTCACGCCCAGTCAGGGCAACAGGGGACCCCACCAGTAGGGTCGGTCAGGAGGCAGATCCTAGCAGCAGCGGAGGCCCCCATGCCCAGGTGTGGGAAGATGCACATAGGGATTTGCTACATGGACTTACCCATATGCTACGGGTGCGGATTAAGGGGCCATATCCAGAGGAAGTGTTGTTTATCCCGCTAGGGTGCAGGCAGGGGCACAACACAGCCATCTAGTCCAGCAGCTGGTACATCTTCAGCACCCTCTCCAGGTCGAGGCACTCCAGCACCCGCAGGGTGTGGTACATGTAGGGGTGATGCACAGTGTTCGGGAGGACCCAGTCGTTTCTATGCTATGAGTGGTTGCCAAAGTGCGGAGGCTTCTCCAGATGTTGTCACATGTATATTGACTATTCAATCTCGTGATATGTATGCCCTTATTGATCCCGGTTCCACTTTGTCCTATGTTGCTCCTTATGTTGCTCCTTATGTTGCTATGGTCGCGCGAGTTTATAGGGGTTGTGTTGTCACTCTGTGTGGTCGGGATACCATAGCTAACCTCGTTGAATAGGGGATGGTTGATTTTGATATAATAATGGGAATTTATTGGTTGTATTTATTTTATGCTAAGCTCGAATGCCAAACTAGAATTATGAGGCTTGAATTTCCCAATGAGCCGGTTGTCAAATGGAAGGGGGATAATGTGGTGCCAAAGGGTAGGTTTATTTCTTATCTTAAGGCTACGAAGATGATTAACAAGGGGTGTATCTACCATTTGGTCCGGGTTACGGACATTGATGCTGAGGCACTTACACTAGAGTTTGTGCCAGTTGTGAATGAATTCCCAAATGTCTTCTCGGATGAGCTCCCTGGGATTCCACCAGACAGGGAGATTGATTTTGGGATCGATGTGGTGCCACGCACACAACCTATATCTATTCCACCTTACAAAATGGCGTCGGTGGAATTGAAGGAACTAAAGGAAAAATTGAAGGATTTGTTAGAGAAGGGCTTCATCCGACTGAGTGTGTCGCCTTGGGGCGCACTGGTTCTCTTTGTAAGAAAGAAAGATGGGTCGCTACGGATGTGTATTGACTACCGGAAGCTCAACAATATCACTATCAAAAATAAGTATCTCCTACCAAGAATAGATGATTTTTTTGATCAACTTCAGGGTGCTTAGTACTTCTCCAAAATTGATTTACGATGTTGGTATCACCAGTTGAAGATCAAGGAGCAGGATATTCTGAAAACAGCTTTTAGGACCCGGTATGGGCACTTTGAATTTCTGGTGATGTCTTTTGGGCTAACAAATGCCCCAGCAGCTTTCATGGATTTATTAATCAAGTCTTCAAGCCTTTTCTTGACTCCTTTGTGATAGTATTCATTAATGATATTCTTTTATGTTCACGAAGTCAAGAGGACTCTTTATCAGCACCAATTTTATGCGAAGTTTTCGAAATCTAAATTTTGGCTTGAATCTGTTACATTCTTGGGTCATGTCATCTCTAGAGAAAGAATTAAGGTTGATCCTCAAAGATTGCAGCAGTGAATAATTGGCCTAGACATACAACTCCAACAGAGATTCGTAGTTTCTTGGGCTTAGCAGGGTATTACAAGAAGTTTGTGGAGGGGTTCTCTACTCTTGCCTCTCCGTTGAGTAAATTGACGCAGAAAGTGGTTAAGTTCCAATGGTCCGATGCTTGTGAAAGGAGCTTCCAGGAGTTGAAATCAATATTGACTACGGCACCGGTATTGACCCTGCCAGAGGGTACAGAGGGGTTTGTGGTATATTGCGATGCTTTAAGGATCAGGCTTGGGTGTGTGTTAATGCAAGATGGCAAGGTTATAGCTTATGATTCTAGGCAACTCAAGAATTATGAAAAGAACTATCCAACACACACTACAACAAATTTGTCCTAAGGCAACACTAATTTTAGACAACGCTTGAGAAGTGTTGCCAAAAGCATCTAAGAGAACGTTTTTTTAGGGGTGGCCTTTGTCTCCGACTTTTGGCTACGAGGTTTAGGCTACACTTTAAAAGTGTACTTTTAGACACTAAAGACCACGCTCATTAAGTGTTGCCAAATCATAAAATATTTGGCAACACTTATTTGCCTATATTACAACACTTTCAAGTCGTTGCTATTTATCAATCCTAAAAGCTACACTTTCTAAGTGTAGTCTAAAAATTTTCACCAAAAATTTTCCCCCCAACCTCTTAATAAAATATTTCCCCCCCATTTTGAAAAAGCAAATAAGAGAACCCGCTATTTTGCTAAGTTCTATTTTGATTTTCCATTCCCTATTTCCTCCTACCCCACAATTCATCCATATTTTTTTCCCAAATTCATTCTATTCCTAATTCCAAAGGCATCACAGAGACAGAAAGAGTCAACTTTAGTTTGTTGCTGCTTCTAATCGTCGAAAACCCTAGCCAAATTTTAGGGCTATAGTAGTTTAATCTCTGTGAGTACATTCTTCTCTTCTCTCTTCGGTTTTCTACTTCTATCTCTCTACCAATATGTGTTTTCTGTATTGTAGGTTTAGTTATTGCATTGTATGCTTCTTATCTTCTCCTATTGTCTAGAATTTATGTTGTCGCCTCGCTCATTCTAGCAGCCTCTTTCTGATTTTGCTCTATTCTGTCGTATTATTGTTCTCATCTCGCTATTTCCGGTTAGCCTTATTAGTCTATTAAAACTTAGTCTTTGGTGAACTGAATTTGGACTAGAAACTATAACTGACTCAACAACTCTATATAAAGGAGCTAATTAAGATCTATAGATAATCCGAAAAAAATCCTAACTATACTATCCATCTATCAGCTTGTTCATTTTTACAAGTAATTTTCATTCCATTTGAAGGCTATTGAACTCTGGCTTCTTCAAAACCTTCACTGACAACTCAAGTTGGAAATTTTTTAGCCATTGTAAGACCATTTAATTGACGTTAAATCAATATTTGTTTAGTTCTTTTTATTTTGCCCATTCATAAGGGTTTGTTTTGGATAATCCATCATATATAGGTAGCTGCAGAGCTGGCTTTGGCATTGACAGTAGTGAATAATGAAGAAGACTTCATGTGGGTGTTGATTAAATTGGCCATCTCCGCATTCTTTACTTCCTTGTTTGCCTTGTAAGTGGGAATAAAAGAATAGCACAGTACTTCCTATAGTTATGCCAGTTGTTTATAGTAGCTCTCGTTATTTATTTTATTTCTTTAGACATCATTAAGATGTCAGATTGGAGCTTATGATAATGACATGTTGTACAATACCTATGATACATCCGCTGCTTTTGGGTATAAAGTTTCGGTCATTCTATAATATTTGACACTATCAATACTTCTTAGCATTTGGTTATTTGGAACCAGTTGCCTTTAGAAAAGTTGTCATCTTATACAAGACATCTAGTTAAGAATGAAAAAAAATCAAGTACAAGAGTTTGATGTAAAATAACTTGTTAATATACAGTGTCCAGTTAGTGGAGTTGTGCAACATGCCAATACTCTTCTATGAAAGCAATGAATAATAATATACCTCTTAATTAAAACAAGAAAATGAGTAAATTGTAACATCAAATGCATAAGTGCTCCTTAATTTTGGATTAGCTTGTCCATGAGCAAACATATTCTTTTCTCAATTGTAATTTTATTTGCATCCTCTGAACTCCTTTTACTTCATGAAAAAAAGAATATGATGCTTAACTAGTGCTTGATGTTCATATAGATTCTATTTGTGAATGCTTCACCGAAGATTGATAGGTTGTTTTACAGTTTACTTATACCATTTGCATCTTCTTTGAGCCTTTTTCTCATTTTCTCTATGTTAACAAATTTTTTGTTGTATCGGTTGTTGGACAAAAATGATCCGTACTTCGAAGTCCTACCTTCTCTGCTTCTTAGTTCTCTTCGTTTATGATAGTTGGTAGTTATTATTGTAAGAAGTTATAGTTGGTTTCTCCTTTTGTTTGGGATAAGAGAAAGATAGTAATGTCAGGAGGTATAGCCCGTGGCTGTCTTGCAGAGGAGCGCAAAGCTTGGCGCAAAAATCACCCCCATGTTAGTTTTTATTTTTATTTTAAAAATTCTTTCTTGATATCCAGTCTTTATGGTTTTGATTTGTAAATTTTACTACTTGTTTTTGAATGGTTATTTTGGTTATTTTTTAGGGGTTTGTAGCTAAGCCAGAGACACTTTTGGATGGGTCAGTGAACTTGATGGTGTGGCACTGCTCCATTCCTGGTAAAACAGGAGTAAGTTTTCAACTTTTCATCAACCCCAATCAGTATTTTGTTTGTTCCCCTTCTTGTATTTTTCTTATTAGGATATAAAGTTTTGAACTTTTCTCTGTTTACTCACAACATTTGTGACTGTGAATGATCTTTCTTGATCAGCAATTAAAGGGTCAGCCAATTTGATTCCTTTTGTTGGTTTTTTATTCTGTCTGTTGTAGTATTTTTGCAGTTACTTATGAATCTTTGTCGGATAACGTGTGTTTTCTATGTTACTGGATTGAAGCCCTTTGATAGGCATCAAATTATAGCTTCTAGGTTATCTTGGCTTTGTTAGCATTATGTTTAATTAGGACCCACTCGAACATTTGTTGTATATGTTGATTACCATACTGCTTAATGTTGAAAAATTTTGCATGTTACTCACACACACACACAAAGAAAAAAGAATCACAAACCACGCGAACCATTTCTGATACCATTAGTAGCGTGCAAATGAAAATTTAACCAATGCCATTGATGACTTTGGAATTCACATCTTTTTGTTGACTTTCTTAGTAGCTTTGATTAAGTGGTTTCTCAATGTTTTTTAAATTGTCAACAAGTATGGTATAGTAGGGGATGCAAATTGGACACAATTTACCATATTCGTGAAGAGGAATTTGAGTGCTTTAGATGAGGTTTCGATGAGTTGCTGCTGTTTGACTATGAGCCCGTATGGATTGGCTTATTTTAAGTGTTTTTAAGCCAAAATAGCTTTTAAGTCATTTTGTAGTGTTTGGATAAAGTAAAAAAGTGCTTTTAAGCACTTGTTTTTAAGCTAAAATGACAAAAACAAGCCAAAAGCTAGAAATTCTAACTTATGATTTAAAAGCTATTTTGGCTTAAAAGCTACTTAAAATAAGCCCATCCAAACAAGCTCTATACCTCATGGTTATCCAAATTGGTTTGAAATCTTTACAGCAAGTTCAATGAGTTGCTGGTGTCATTAGGCTATACCTTATAGATAATCCAACTTTTAAAAATGAGCTACCTCATATATTGTAGAATAAAAATGAGCTACCTCATATATTGTAGAACATAGTGCAGCAGCAAGTGTTTTTAAGATTCTTTTTAGTTGTGGCATGAGATTTTGAATTGTTACAGCTTGGTATTCATTGTGGATCCATTTGCTTGACTGGTTTGGAATCACTTTGTCGTAGCAGTAGGTTCATTACGCGAAAAATGGTACTAGTAACAATATATTTAGAAGCCATTCTAATTAGTGAACTAATAGGTTTATTTTTATTTGCTCTTAATATCACATGTAGAGTGAAGTGTGATATTCCTAAAAGACTTGTCATACTTTTTAATAATATATATCTCTTTCAGTATTTGTTGGAAAGCTTCTGCTTATTGTCTCTCATATATACGTATAGAAATAGTTTTAGTGATGGTGCTTGCAGATTGTTGCTGGTTTATTTTATATGTGCCCGAGATGAGTAAAGTTAAAGGTGGCGATGAGTGAAGGAGGAAAAGAAAACTGGTAGCTAAACTAGTCAGTATGATCTACAATCTATCAGCACACTTGAATATTTTCATCTGGATCTGCACCGTATCTCAGGTAAGGCAACAATGGTAAGTTAGTTTATTTGATAACTTGTTTACTCATACTTCTGAATTCTATTCTGATAAATAAAATGGTAAAATTAATTTATAAGTATTTCTCTAGTAGCCATGTTTCTATTTATTTTAAAAGTTTATTTGTCAAGTACTTCAACGACTTCTATCCGCTAGGAGTGCTGATTTTTTAATGATTTCTTGGTGAATAAGTCGTCATTCTGAAGGAAGAGCAGGATCCTTTAGAAAATTAGATTTCCCCCTTCCAATATCCCCCTTTCCCCTCCAATTAATGCTTTCACATATTTAAACCCCTCCAACATTATAGTACTCATCTAATATTATCTAATTGCAGCTGGTATAGAGAGTTTTTTTCAAATTAGTAGCAGGCTATAACAAACAATGCATATATTTTTGTCTCAATTGCAGGTATGGAAAGGTAAAACCACTGAAAAGAACAAAGAGATTACAATTAGGGAACTTAAGGGCCAAAAACTTTCAAAAATTTTTGCTCATTTGAACAAGGGAAGCTCACATGTTGCTTAGATTACTAGAGTGGTCAAGCTGCCGAAAATGGATCAGTTGCAAAATAAGAAGATTGATGTGAAGGGTGCTAAGGACCAAGGGGATAACAAATTGGGTTGCTAACGTATACTAGCTTTAGCAGTATAATGTATTTTAAAATATTATTCATGATAGAATACATCAGATATTGTATAATTCATTTCCCGTAGCTTACCTTTAAGAAATTTGCTTTATTAATTAATGTAGTACATGATACATATTTCTTTTTCGAAGTTCATTATAAGTCTTTTTTTTTTGGTTATTTATTATTGATTAATGTAGTGTTTGAGATCTACACATTTTTGCAATAATCTCAAAATTTATGATAATAATATATATATTTGATGATAAATGTGATTACTAGATATATGAAATTATTAACAAAGACAACACTTTATAAGGGTGGCCTCAAAGTAGAAAAGTCAACGATTTAAACATGTAGCCTTAGGACATGAAAAATGTTGCCACACGAGGTATTACACGCGTAGCATTTGTACCTTATAGGCCACACTTTTGAAGCGTGGCCTTTAAAGCAACACTTAAAAAGCGTTGTCTTTGGGAAAAGATTACGCTAGTTTAGGCCACCCCTAGAAAAGCGTTTCTTAAAGTTGAAAAGTGTGGCCTTTGATCAAATGCCACACTTTTTGATAGTTTAGGCCACACTTTTCAAGGGTGGCTAAAGACCTAAAATGTTATAGTGACATGACTTAGAACTTGCGGCAGTGGTATTTGCAGTTAAGATTTGGCGTCATTACTTGTATGGGGTCTATTGGATGTATTCACGGACCATAAGAGCCTTCAATATATTTTCAAGCAAAAGGAATTGAATTTGAGGCAGAGAAGATGGCTTGAGTTTCTCAAGGATTACGACATCGATATTCTATATTACCCGGGAAAAGCCAATGTTGTGGCGGATGCTCTTAGCCAGAAATCTATGGGTAGTTTGGATCACTTGGAGGTATGTTGGAGGCCGTTGGCCAGGGAGGTTCACCAGTTGGCAAGTTTGGGAGTTCATTTTGCGGACTCTAATGAAGGAGGGGTAATTATGCAGAATAGGGCTGAATCATCGCTTGTAGCGGAGGTCAAGGAAAAGCAATACAATGATCTATTGTTGGTACATAAGGCTAAAACTTTTTCTCTTGGCGTGGATGATGGTACCCTACAGCACCAAGGGCGGCTATATGTTCCAAATATAGGTGGTCTTCAGGAAAAAATCATGGCTAAAGCTCACACTTCTATGTATTCCGTGCACCCAGGTTCTACAAAAAGGTATCATGATCTCAAGGAAGTCTATTGGTGGAATGACATGAAAAGGAATGTGGCGGACTTTGTGGCAAGGTGTTCGAATTGTCAGCAAGTGAAGGTCGAATATCAACGTCCTAGTGGGTTGGCACAAAGCATAGAAATTCCAATATAGAAATGGGAAATGATTAATATGGATTTTGTGGTAGGGTTACCACACACTCCGTGCAAGTCTTACTCAATCTGGGTTATTGTGGATCGACTCACGAAATTAATACACTTCTTGCCAGTTAAATCTACCGACACAGCGGAATAGTATGCTCAGTTGTATATCAAGGAAATAGTCAGGCTTCATGGCACTCTAGTGTCCATCATCTCCGATCGAAGGGCTCAGTTCATAGCTAATTTTTGGAAGAAATTTCAGCAAAGTTTGGGTACTCAGGTAAATCTTAGCACAACCATCCATCCACAGACCGACAGGCAAGTAGAGCGGACTATTCAGACGCTCAAGGACATATTGCGTGCTTGTGTTCTTGATTTTAACGGTAGCTGGGATGTTCATTTGACACTCATAGAGTTTGCTTATAACAACAGCTTCCATGCTAGTATTCAGATGGCACCATTTGACGCAATGTATGGTACGAGATTTAGATCTCCCATTAGGTGGTTCGAGATTGGGGAAGCTGAATTGATAGGACCAGACCTCATGCATCAAGCTATGGAAAAGGTTAAGATCATTAAGGAGCGGTTGAAAACTGCCTAGAGCCATCAAAAATCCTAATCGGATATTCGTCGCAGAGACTTAGAGTTCAAAGAAGATGATTGGGTATTCTTGAAGGTTTTCCCCATGAAGGGTATTATGCGGTTCGGAAAGAAAGGGAAATTGAGTTTGAGGTATGTCAGGCCGTAAAAAATCGTTTAGAGAATTGGTCAGGTGGCATACAAGCTCGAGCTACCACCCGAGATATACTTAGTGCACCCGATATTCCATGTGTCCATGTTAAATAAGGTGGTTGGAGATCCGTCTGCTATTGTGCCGGTTGAGACCATTGAGGTTAATGAAGAATTGCCATATGAATTCCATTCTTGATAGGCAAGTCCGAAAGTTGAGGAATAAAGAAATTGCCTCCGTAAAAGTGTTATGGCAAAACCAGCTGGTTGAAGAGGCCACTTGGAAGGCCGAGGAAGAAATGAAGAAGAAGTATCCTTACTTGTTTGAATAGCTGTGTAATCCTTTCTTTTTATAAGCTTGTCGCCTATGAATTTTGTACCACTTGTTCAGTTAATGAAAAGGTGTTCCTCTTGATTATATGTTGCTTATGAGGCCACGGTTGGTATTGTTATGAGTTCTGTTACGTTGTTGGGTTGTGAATATATTTGTAAGATGTGTTTCTAGGGCTCTCTGACAGGTGGATAGGCCTAGATACAAAGGAAACTCTAGCAAAATTTTCAGAAATTTTGGGAGTTCGTCCGAATTTTGGACTGTTGGTGTGTAGTCTAGTAATTGAGTTGCATCGGAAGCTAATGGTGAACTTTGACCCTCATTCAAGGACGAATGATCTTAAGTGGAGGAGGATGTAAGGCCCCGTAAAATTTTACCTAAAAACCTGGAATTTTGTGGTGCCGAGTCAGGCTTATCTGTCAAAGATTGGTGAGCTGAAGAAAATTTTTGGAAGTTCAGGGCATTTTGTGCCGCCAAATCTATGACTGTAGAGCTAATCTACAGACCGCAGATCTGCCGCAGAGTGAAGCAAAGATTTGAGTTAAATTTTGGACAAAATATGCGGTCCATTATGCGGTCGCATAATCGTTCTACGGACTGCATAACCCATCACAAATCCCCACATAGAAATTCCCGGAGGGGTGTTCTACGGCACATTATGCGACTGCAGAACAGGTCTGCGGACCGCAGATCGGTCGCAGACTGAGGCATTAAATTCTAGTTCTTTTGAGCTATTTTTTCCCCATTCTGCGGACCGCAGATGCATTATGCGGTCGCATATGCGACTGCAGGTCCAGTATCAAGGCTCCTAATTTCTAATTTTTAAACCTGATCATGTGTCGTTAAAACACATACCTTAGACCATTTTGAACCCATTTTTTGATATCTTTAGAGTGAGAAAGAGAGTCCTAGAGGGAGAAAGTGTTCTTCGTCAAAAAATTCTCTTCAATTCTTTCTTAAACCTTGGAAATTATCAAGAAAGACACCTAGGTCTTCTTCCCAAGAGGTAAGATTCTATCACCCAAACTCCTAATTTCAAAATGTAACTAGAATGGGCCATTAGTAAGGTAATTCATGGGAATGGGAGTGCTTATCTCGCATGCATGTATTCATAAAGTATGTGGGGGAGGTTGTGAGATAAGAATGGGCTGAAGAATGGTAGAATATTTTAAAAAAGGGTCTTAAAAACATAATGCACACCTAGTGTTTGTTAATGTGCTCAAATGAGCCAGAATCATTATCATCTTTCTAATTTTTGGTTCAACTTGTTATATTCCTAAAATAGATTGAAGTTGCTAAGAGTTCTGGTATATAGTAGGAATTAAGGAAGCTATATTGAGGTATGTATGGCTAAAACCCCTCTTCTTAGAATTGAACCCCTTGGTGTTCATGAAATCGGTGTAAGTCCCAAATTGACCATTGTAGAAATTACTATTCTGAAATGTACTTCCACTGAAAGATATATGTGCAATATATGTGTCCCAATGCTTTCATCATGTTATCTTATCATTGAAGATGTGTTAAAAATATGGAATACGTGCTACAAATGCCTAGACTTCAAGTCAAATTTGAATGAAGATTGTTATGCCGAATGGTGTGAAAAACCTCTATGTGCCTTAGTCTTTAATTCACTCACGTGTGTAATCAAGTCTAGAATGAAAAGTATTACACCCCATGTTTTCGTACATGAAAGTACGCCATGAGTAAATTGATATAAGCTGGGGAATGAGATTATTTTAAGGTTATAAGTATTATGTTACTTCAAACAAGTGATAAGTAAATTCGTGAAGGTTAGAGGGTAAACGAATCAAAGAAAATGAGTTTCGTTGAAGTTTGATATTTTGGATAAAATATGGTCTGAGCTATAATACCCGGTATTTATGGACTAGTGCCATAAAAGGTACCTTATGACCATGATAGAAAGGTGTATAAGGTGTGTTAAAAGTGAGTAATATTTTAAATAAGTTGAGATAATTCTTAATTATATGGGTAATTGGTTGATTATTGGTTAATGAGGGATTAATTAGTTAAATAAATCATTAGTAGACTAATTAAGACTTCGGGGATAAGCTTAAGGGTCCAAAACGTGGCAGCTCACACCTAACATTAAGATGACTCTTAAATGGTCTTGCAAGATGTCATATTTTGAAGATTATAGTCACCACTTAAAGTGGGCCCACATCCCATTCAAGATCACTTTTAAGGTTTGAGACCATTTTGGGCTTCATTTTCGTGTCTTAAGAGTTTCAAGAGATTCAAGCTAAATGTCCTTTCTGAAGCAACTTACGTTAGTCAATAATTGAGGAAAATCATAATATTTTCCTACCCCAATACCAAATTACACATGATGGAGCACTTTGTAGGCGTTGTATTTATGTTACTATTGTGAGATTTTTCAATATTAAGGGAGTACGATGTAATCTTTCTCAAGAGAATCGATTCAGGTGTGTTAAGGCTATCCTTTCTTTCTTTTGGCATCATCTATACGACACAAACAAAACGAGCAAATGCGCAATTTTCATAAATGACTCTATTAATAAAATGCTAGAGATGCTTATGTTCTTGATTCTCTATGTGTCATATTTTTCTATCATTTGTTCATGGGTCTCAGAAAAATACATAAGTTGAAAAAGTTTACTTCATGATATTATTCGAAGGCATAATGGTCTTATGACATTCCAAGAGATTTTATTGACGTACTTCTCATGCATTGCATTCATGTACATTGACCCATGACCAGATGGAGTTATATACGCGTATATATGTATGTGTGT